GATTCTAACGAGATGGAGGGCTAACTGTTGGGGTCAAAATTGGTTACGACGGAATCCACGACTAAAAGTATTCGGAAAAAGTATCGAACAACATGATTATAACGAGATGTGGCAGATGCTTGTTCGATAGACTCTTGGAACCTACCAGCGCCACGATCTGACAATGAGGTCACTCTGCATGCTCATCTCACAACTCAAACCCCACCAAGCTTGAGTTCGTTCCCAGATGTACGATTTTGGTTAATCAATGGGGGTAAAGTTGAAGCAGGATTACACTTGGGAACAATGCAAACCACGAGAAATTCCAAAAGACTGTTCAGAAGCTGTCTGGTTTAAGGGTTATGTTCCCAAACACGCTTTCAACATGTGGATTGCTCAACTCAACCGGATGCCAACCCGATCAAGCTTGAGCAGATGGAGCATAACCAGCTCCCCAAACTATTCTCTCTGTTTATTTGGTGTGGAAACTCGGGATCACATCCTGCTCAACTGTGGCTACTACTGAAATTTGGAGAAAAGTCTTGATAATATTAAGATCTTCACATGGCTGCTTCACCGACTGGAATGAGCTGTTATCCTGGATCAAAGAACCGGCCACAACTAAGCTCCAAACGTTGAAAAAGATTGTCACTCTTGCGAATTTATACCATCTTTCGTACCAGAGAAACAACACTATCCACAACTATACTCTTTATCCAGCTGCTATGGTATTCAGGTTAATTGACCGAGAAGTGAGGAACATAATTCTAGGAAGATGAGACAGGAGGAAGTTTACTTCTCTCTTTTCAATTTGGCTAGCCTAAGTATCTATAGCGTTTAGCTATTTATCTTGTTTCACTTTAATGCCTCCGTGTTTTTACTCTTTTTGCCTTGGAAGTATCGACTGTAGGATTGAAACTCTTGTAAATTTTTTTTTCCATTTCTAATGATATTAACGTTTTAGCTTAAAAAATTTAGATTTTACAACTCAGACCATTTCCTCAGATCCCGATGGTTAATATTGTTCATTCATTATATCGTCTGTATTTCCGTCCATTCAAATCTGATCCTGAATGGGCTTCCACCAAAGCCACTTGTCCTATCAATGAGAGCCTTTTAACTTTCCAGATAAATAAAACAAGCCCGGAAAACCTATCCAACCAGAAATTCCAATTGGTTTATTTAAATGGGCCAAACCGACGTTATTTAAGGAAGGTCTTCAACTCCATCAATTTTGTTCAAAAAGAACGTATCTATGGAGGCTAGGAGATCATCTGAAACTCTCAGGAGATAAAATGGAAGTTCTTAGATGCACCAACACCCAGAGGATCAGGAGAATCCTCATGTTCATCTGCTTTCCATATCGGTCGATTTACACTATATGCCTTGAAAGAGTTGCTTCAGATTCTTTCCCAAGACCAATGGCCATATTCTCTTTTCTTGCAACAAAAAAATATTTATGGAAGAGTTTCAGGTCATGGGCACATCCAGAAGCTGTCTAGTTACAAGGCTAAACCAAATTTCTTTTTGGAGAGGCTCAAATCAAGCCTAACGGCTATATATCTTCAAGGAGCCAATCCTCTGATTCTTCTACTTAATTTCATGTAGTTTGTTTCCTTTTGAGTCATTTATTTGTAGTCAGGTCATTGTTAATTGTAAACCACCATTGATCATTGAAAGTAATAAGAAAACTGTTTTCTCTTAACAAATGTGTATATTCTTTGTTGTCGCTTCTTTAGTAATAAGTGTGTGATTCACTTGGTGCTACCGAAGCCACAACCAGAGAGTTTTGAGAGATTCAAGTCACCCTGTGTGTCCGCTGAGTGAGCGAGTCAATCTTTATCCATCTATACATTCCATCCACCGGCCAAATCTTGTAAGTGTTTACACAGCCAGCAAGCTTAGCCCTATTGCATCCACCAATCTGTCATCCTCTCTCACCTTCCATCATATACATGTTCTTTATTTTATTCTTGTTTTCATTATCATCTCATTTGTTTTGTACTTGTTTCAGGTTACCAACTCAGATTATCTGGCTATATCGACCATTCCACCACATATCGGGTCGAACCGATTGAAACCTCCATTGTCCATCTAGACGACCAGCTTCCAAGCCCGCAACAACAACTCTACACGAAAAAAAAAATCGTAATGTTCTTGCTTATTGGATATGCTTAGGTTTAGTTCAACCGGGTGTTTTGTACCTAGGCATGAAAAATTGAATTTTGGTTTGGTCTTAGTTCCGGTATTGCGGTTTCAAGTTTTTCGGTTCTACAGATTTTTGAACTGCAGTTATCTACAAAATTTGGTTTGGTTTCAGTTCAGTTATATTGATTTTCAGTTCGGTTCGGATAGCAAAGTTTGGAACCAGCAAATATCCAAAATATTTTGGGGTCCAATCGTTCTAGGTTTTCGGATAGTTTTGAATAAGTTGGATAAAACCATCATATAATTCAAGTTTTTCAGGTTCAAAATTGGATAATCCGGGTTGTTCATATAATAAATTCAGATGTTTATAATTATTTTGGATGGAAAAATATTCAGGTAAATCAGGTTTTTGGGTATTTTGGTTTACAAATAGTATTTTTAGGATATGGGTTTATTTTAAAACTCAATTTAATTGATATTTCAATATTTTGGATAGAAGAATATTCAGGTAAATCAGGGTTTAGGTATTTAGGTTATTTTGGTTTACAAATAGTATTTTTAAGATATGTGATTATTTAAAAACTCAATTTAATTTATACTTTAAATATAAAATATTTTTTTTTAATAAATTCAAGCTCGATTTTTCTTGTTCTAGAGATATAGGTTATTTATGAAATTCGGTTTAATTTTGGTTTTGGTTATTTTGATTTGACAAGGTTCAGTTTCACGGTTCCACATAAATGTGTCCATGCTAGTCGTACCAGTACCAATTTAAAAAGAGAAATTATAACTAGAGCCATTATAGAAAAAAAACATAAACAACGTAAAAAATCGTGGAACATCCCAGATTAGGGTTTATGTCACTACTCCTTTCTGTTTTTCCATATTGTAACTAGCGAGACACCCATCAGAGACATAACCACCGTCTGTAGAATAATTACAAACTGTCTTAGATTAAAATGAAAAAAACTTGTTAAGAACTAAAAGCAAAGAGATGTAATGGGTCTTTTATTTAACTCACGGAGATCGCTGGAGGCACTCCAACAAGAGGATCTTGAAAGAACTTTGTTGCGAGGGCCAGAGCTAGAAGACTACTTTGCATTCCTGTTTCATAGGATAATGTTCGTTGTAGAGCCTTTACATCAGGTGCCTTGCTGAAGAAGAAACCAGTAAAAAAGTAACCAGCTACGAAAGCCAAGAGATGAAACGTGATAACGAGGAACAAAATGGTTGCACCGAATGGAGACAAGATTGAGTCTATGTTCAAAGCGAGGGGTGCTCCAATGCAACAAGCCATATCGATAAGCGTTAATGCTGGGAGAAATGGTTTGATTGCACTAGACAACCTTGGCAATAACCTGCAGTCACATTAATGTAACGTTAGTTATTCGTAGCTTTTAAAACTTTTAGGCCGGATCTGAAATGTAGAGAGCCATAAATATTCTTTAAGTTAAATCTTAACTTTTTTTTTTGACAATTTGAAGGCTATACACAACCTATAACGACTCTTTAAAATTTGGAACCAATGAGAGTATTTCATCTGGGTGTGCTTAGAATCGGGCATGATAACGCTGAAACTGTTTAATTAGGAGAAAATGATCGTGTAAATATGAAATTGGTTAGTAAAATCACTACGGTCAAGCTTGAAGCCTGATTAAGTCTTTGAGGCCTGCATGCATTTCTAATTGATTCGGCTGGTGTCTCACCGGTTCAGAAGTAGTCCTGCGGCAATAGGTGTAACCACGACCTGAAGAATGCTAGAGATCATCCGAATCACATCAACGGGAAGCTTTTTACCAATGAGCAATAGAGAAAGCATTGGTGTAACGAGCGCTGCAGTAGCTGTTGAGATCGATGTCATGACAATACTAAGCGGCGCGAGTGAAGGATCGGTCAAGAAAGTTGTGTAGTTCGATAGCTGAGCTCCACTAACACATGATACCAACATGATTCCAGCACCTATAGGAGTCGGTAGATTGAAAAGAGAGACAGCCATCACGCCGAACATATAACCTAAGAGAGGTTTGATCAAGTATTGTCCGATGTAACCGGCGAAAATAGCGTCTGGTCTTTTAAGAGCTTCAAGAAAGTCCCGTTCGTTAGAGTTGATTCCAACAGCAAACATCATGAACCCTAAGCCAGGCACAAAGTACCTAAAGAAGGAGAAATAGTATTCAAGATTTGGCATTAAGATCTTGATCAAGTTTAGTAATTAGGTTAATCCGAACCTTGGCTTGAACCATGTGAAAGAAGGTGGATAGAGAAGAGCTAAGATTGTACTTGAAAGAATCACATGAGGAATAAAAGAGTTGGCTTTCTTTAGCATTTCCATTATAGAAACCTTCTCATTGTAGACCTGAAACCAAACACAACTGTTACTTGCCAAAAAAGCGAAAGAAGACTTGGATCTTGTTGGTTATATTTTACCTCGGCTGATTCAGATTCTGAGACATATCTCCGCCAAGGATAACTCGGCCTACCATCTTTGGATTGTAGAATAAGGCAACACCCAAAATTACAACATTCAAAAATTAAATTGCTTCACTTCAAAAAAAAAACTAATACAAAAACAGAGTTGTTCTTTCTTTACTTTGCGAAATCGGATCACTGCATAATGGAAAATCTACAGATGATGATCCTGCACGAGAAACAAACTCATCAAAAACAAGAACTGAAGACATACAGGAAGGGTTACTTTATTCATAGAAACAGCTTTAATAAAATGCTAAAACATAGGACAACGAAGTGAAACCTAGAGAAACAAATGAGAAGCTGTTGCGTGTGAGATTTGTAACTCTTCGACTGTTACGTAAAGCCACAGGGTAGGAATAATCTCGAGTTTGAAGAAGACCATGCTGAGACTTCAAGAACAGAGTCTCGATAGGAGAGATCACGCCCATTTTATGTTTTTGCTTCACAAATAACCAAAACGACGATCTTGAACCGAGAGAGACGTGGAAGCAAAACGCAGTGTTTTGTTTATAAGCACGACGTACCAAATTACCAACCCAAATAAGAGAAACGTTTCATTAGAAACTAGGTGTGGAAAATTATTTACGTCTACGTGATACGCACGTGCGAGTGCCACACCAACCTATCGTCTCAAAAGCAATCGTTTTTTTTGGGAAAATAATTTTTTAGACCAAAACCATTAGACCATCATTATTGATGTCCTTAATGCATCCCTTAGTGTTTTTTTAATATTGGTTTAACCCAAAGTCAGTAGGAGACGGGGTAATCGTTTGTTAATTAACAAACGTTTTCATGTCGTCCTTAATGTCACGTGTCATAGTGTGAATGGTTGTCTTTCAGAACATGTGTCTGTCTTCAATATTTTTCAGGCCTAATTCACGAGTTGTACACTGAAATGCACAGGTCAGAATATGCGGTAGTGCTGCTTATGTTTCACAATCCGCATGGATTCAGTCTGGCAATATAGAAGAAAATATTCTCTTTGGAAGTCCAATGGATAAGGCTAAATACAAGAACGTTATTCACGCTTGCTCGCTGAAACGGGACTTGGAGCTCTTCTCACATGGCGATCAGACCATTATCGGTGACAAAGGCATAAACCTCAGAGGTGGTCAGAAGCAAAGAGTTCAACTAGCTAGAGCGCTTTACCAGGAGGCTGATGTCTATCTCCTCGACGACCCTTTTAGCGCTGTCGATGCTCACACTGGCTCCGAACTCTTCAAGGTACACTTTCTGTTTTCTACGTCTTTCCAAATAAACAAACAACTACCTTGCATGAATGTGTCTCCCCACATAAAAGATTGAGTTTGCGTATATACATAAATACATATTGACGGCTCTGGAAGAAAAGACTGTGATATTTGTAACTCATCAAGTCGAGTTTCTTCCTACCACGGATCTTATATTGGTGAGGACTTCTGCTAAAATCTTATACCAAGAGCGGTTTAAATGTTAAGACACAGAGAAAAGTATATAACACCAGGAAAGCACGTCAATGAAGTATTGACTCCGGAGGAACAGGCTGTGCGTAAGAGAGTGAGGGAGTTCATGGAGAAAGAAGTTGCCCCAATTATGACAGAGGTTTGTCTATCTTTGGTTACTTACTTACTTTGGTAGTATAATTACGTTGATTCATCGTTCTTCCTTTGATTTTTTTACTCATCAGTACTGGGAGAAGACAGAGTTTCCATTCTATATTATTCCAAAGTTTGGAGCTTTGGGTGTTGTTGGTGGCTCCATCAAGGTAATTTACTATGCTTTATTTATTTGATTATGTGGATGGAAGATTCACATTATTAATTTGGTCTAGCTTCTTAGGAGAACTTAAGGTGATCTAGAATTTATCATTAATGTTCTATCTTTGGTGGTTCTTTGCTTCAGTTTGTTTCCTTTTCATCTTCTTTACTTGATTTCAGAGACTGAACAAAGAGAAAATCATTTCTGGTTTGCTCGGTAGTAGATGAACTTCAAAGCATGAGGAAGAAACAAGTTATAGGAACTATGAGTCTTGTACTTGAATGGTTGTGTTATGTGAAGCTTATGTAGATCTGTGTTATTGAGTTTCTGTTGCGTGAGATGCAACAAAGTAGCTTTATAGGACATCAAAATTGAAAGGTCATGGAAGACGTGTTGCAAGGCGTCAAAATTGAAGGTTGTGTTATGTGAAGGTTATGCTTAACTCTGCTTCTTTAGTCTTCACTCTTTTATATGCATAACCTGATATACTTGTGTTGTGTAATAATCATGGATTCAAAAAGTCCTACCAATAATTAAGAATTTTTAGAATGTCCTTAACTTTGTCTTTAACATAACAATAATAATAAAAGTAATCTAAGGATCCAAAATTAGTCTTACCAATAATGATGCTCTTAGGACATTAGAGCACCATTATCCCATGTGTTTTAGTGGGTTGCTTAGCCACTTTTTCTGTTTGCACCCCACCAAAAACACAAGCAACCATCTTCTATTTTGCTAAAATAAGCAACTGATTTGGGGTGTTGCTTGCATTGTTCGTGGTCTCACCGACACGTGGTGATCCGCGATTGGTTCTTCTTTATTTTTATTTTTATTTTTCTTTTTAAACCAAAAAAAGAAAAAAAAAATAAACAATCCAAAATTGGGTTACTGGAATAATGATGCTCTTATCCTTTAGACTAATGTCATGTAATTATTGTCCTATTAGACTAAATATTTTCTAAATGATAATACTGCCCTTAAAATTAATTTATTAATTTGTAATTATAATTAAAAAATCATTATTATCTATTTTTGATTTAATTAAAAACTAATTTGAAATTAGAAAAAGTTAAAAAAATTCCCAAACTAATTCGAAATTAGTTTTTCTTTTTTGTTTTAAAAAAAAATCGAATTTAAAAATATGGAAACTGAATATTTCCAAATATTTTCTCCTATATTTTCGGATCTGATTATTTTTATTGGTAGAATACCTATTCTACTAAAGGTAGAACTCAGTAAGAACGCTTGAAATAAGTTTCTACAAGTATTAGAACGATAGTAAGAATGTAGATTTTGATTTCTACTTATTTTAGATGGGGGTGGCGATCTATTTCCCCACGAGAAGTATCGTATAGCACAACATGTCCACGGAACTATGATCCCATTCTATTTACCCCCGATAATAAAGTTCAAAACCAATTTCCCCACCAAATTTGGTTTAGTTATGCTTTCTGAAAACCGAATTTCAAATCTCCTCTCATATAATAAAACCGAGCAAAACTAAACCAAGAAAAAATTAAAAACCCGACCAAACCCTGATCTGGATCAGAACAGTAACCCGACCCAACATTCAAACTTAAAAATGCCTGACTGATTGGATCTTAATACGGTTAGTCATTGGCTTAACATAGTTTCCGGTTTGTTTACAAATAGTAAACCAATAAAAATCGATTTTGTGGATTTTTAGATTTCGATCTTTATAACTGTGGGGAAATATCGATATAACTTTCATTTGGTGGGGAAATATATTTTGAACTTTATTCTCGGGGGTAAATAGAACGAGGTCATAGTTTCATGGACATTTGGTGCTATACAATACTTCTCGTGGAGAAATAGATTGTCGACCCAATGTTTTGATAATGGACGAGCTTAGATATGAGAAAGAGCAGTTAAAAGCTGATCACGATCTTGATTTTGAAAAAATGACTGACGAGAAAAGAAAGATATATGATGAGGTTCTTAGTGTTATCTTAGAAAAGAGAGGAGATGTATTTTTTTCTATTGGTTTGGTGGAACTGGGAAAACATTTTTGTGGAGATTGTTGTCTGCTGGGATTAGATACCGAGGATAAATATGTTTGACTGTTGCATCAAGTGGGATAGCTTCTTTGCTACTACTAGGGGGAAGGACAACACATTCGAGATTTGGGATACCAATTAATCCAGATGAGTTTTCTACTTGCACACGAACTCACGGAACAGACCAACCCAATTTGATTAAAGCAGCTTCTCTGATTATTTGGGACGAAGCCCCGATGATGAGCAAGCATTATTTTGAATCATTGGATAGGAGTATGGCTGAGATTATTGGGAATAATGACAATTTACCTTTTGGTGGTAAAGTTGTTGTCTTAGGTGGAGATTTTAGACAGGTTTTGCATGTAATTCATGGAGCTGGAAGAGCTGAAATTGTTTTGGCATCTTTAAATTCCTCTTATCTTTGGAAGCATGTCAAAGTGTTGAAGCTAACAAAAATTATGAGGTTGATGTCTAACGATTTATCTACTGAAGAAGCTAGAGATTTGGAAGAGTTTTCACAGTGGATATTAGATGTTGGAGATGGAAACATAGGTGACAATAATGATGGCAAGGCTCTAATTGATATTCCTGAAGAATTTCTTATTCTTGATGCAGAAGATCCTATTGATTCTATAAGCCAAGATGTGTATGGTGATGTTGTTTCTTTACAGCAGAATAACGAGCCTAAGTTTTTCCAAGAGAGAGCTATACTATGTCCAACTAACCAGGATGTCGAGAAGATTAATCAACACATGTTGGATAAACTCGATGGTTAGTTATTAATTTAATGTTATCAATATGATTTTATTATTGTACATTCATAGATCAAGTTAACATAATTATTTTTTTATAAATATTTCAGGTGAGGAAATGATCTTCTTAAGTTTTGATACGATAGATGCTTCAGATAAATTTTCAGTTAACGATCAAACTCTTACTCCAGATTTCTTAAATACCATCAAACTCTCAGGTTTGCCAAACCATAGTCTATGCTTAAAGATTGGTTTTCCTATTATGTTGCTTAGAAACATAGATCCCACAGGCGGATTAATGAATGGGACGCGACTTCAGGTTACAGAGATGTACCCTAACATTATAAAGGAAAAAGTTATTACAAGAGATAAGGAAGGATAAGGTTGGTTGAGTAGTTATTATTCCTATGCTTGCTATTACCCCTTCTGACAAGAAGTTACCTTTTAAGATGAGGAGGGGGCAACTTCCTCTTTTTGTTACGTTTGCAATTACAAAAGTATGGGACAATCTCTATCAGAAGTGGGCATTTACCTACCAAGGTCTGTTTTTTCTCATGGTCAATTATATGTGGCTATTTCAAGAGTTACATATAAAAAATGGTTGAAGATTTTAACTGTGGACGATGAAGGGAAGCCTCAGAGACAAACAAAGAATGTCGTTTACAAAGAGATCTTCCACAATCTCTGATATTTTCAAGAACATTGTTTTCATTTTTATATACTATCTACTTTAGAATGTATTTCCATTATATTTTCCTAATAATTTAGTTTAACTTTCATTTTCAAAGATTTCGTATATTTATTGCGTTTATCTATGTCAAACAATGATTACTCTTTTTGAATTATTTTCTACATGCAAAAATCTGATGATCATTTTTATTGGGTTTAACTACAAATTTTTAATACAATTTGGACCTTTTATGGGCTATATACCCATCCAAGTTTTGTTTTAATGGACCATCTTTTTCATATGGATCTAATATGTGTTTTACTTCTATATTCTCTCACAACACTTTATTTTCGGATTCTCGGTTCAACCACAAACTGACTCGGTTATGCATAACTCAATGAAAATACCAAACTAAAATGTTAAATATACATCATATTCAAACATAAAACTATCATATAAATGCAAATCTAATCATTTGATACATTTTGTTACAACCAAAAACAAAACCCGCGATTCTCGAACGCGGATCAAAATCTAATTATTATTTATATATATAGATAGATTAAATCATATATAAGAAATTCGAGAAACAAGTCCACAACAGCATCAAATTCGAACTATTTCATTAAATTATATAAGAAGCTAAGAACACAAGTAACATAATGAATATCAGACTCTCTACATTCAGATATAGAATCATACTTAGGCGGTTTCAGTTCTTAGTTCTGCTCATATATTTCACATGTTTATATTGGAGAGTGGAGACAGCCGCAACAATCTTTGTTGTGTCAATTACAAGGACTATAGAAGAAGAAACTAAGAGAAATGAACTTTCTTGAGCCATCCAAATCTATTCCACAGTTTCGAAAACTTGTCTGTATCAATCTGGCGAAATTCAACCTTGAATTTTAGGCTCCAGGCGTTGTCAGGTAATCTTACGAGGCTCTTGCATCCCACAAATCTCAGTTCTTCAAGAGCAGTCAAATATGAAATGGAGGATGGTAGCTCTTTAATGGCCGTCCTGCTTAAATCCAGAGACTTTAAGCATTTCATCTTTCTAGGCAAGTCTGGAAAACGCTCAAGGCTTGAGCAGCCTGACAGATTCAATGTTTCGAGATGCTTTAACTTGCATATGCTGGTTGGAAGATTCACAAGGTGTTTGCTGTTTTCCATGTCCAGTTTTTGAAGTAGTACCAAGTTCTTGATGGATGATGGTATTTCTCGTATCACAGTCCCACCCAAATACAGTTCTTTCACATTTGGCGAGGTCTCCGGGAAATTCTCTAGCTTCGAGCAGCCAGAAAGATTCAAAACCTCAAGAGACTCTAGGTAAAACGTAGATGGAACACTCTCCAGATTCGAGCAATCCTTCAGATTCAGAGAAACAAGCTTCTTAAGATAACATATAGAGTGGCTAATCCTCACCAAACTCTCGCAACCTTCAAGATCAAGAAGCTCGAGATTTTGCGCACTTGTAAGTCTTGGAAGTTTTGTTAACCGGTGGGAGTAGCTCAGTCTCATCTTTTTAAGGTTTTCCAAACTCTGCAAAAGAAGAAAAACAAACATCAGCAACAACTATTACTTTAGTGGTGCGCAGAAACAAACATTACCTTTTTTCCTTTCCAAAGTTTCTTGACACAACTATTTGGCAAGTTAAGCTCTACGAGGTTCTTTGGATCAAAACATTGCGGCAAAGAGCTTATAGGATAGTATTCCCAGTGCAGAAGCCTTAGCTTGCTTGGCAAATATTCAAGACCTTGAGGTAAAGACACTCCATGGTTGTTTATCACATTAGAGAAATAAAACTTCAACAGTCTAAGGTTACACATTTTATCGAATACACTGGCCTTTGCATCACATTTCAGCTGTGACATGTCCAGAAAAATCCCCTCAACAGCTGATGTGCCCTGAATAAGCCAAGAGAAAACAAGTCAGCCTCCAGAAAATAATTTACCCAGAACAAACCTAAGTGACATAACATTATAAGGACAAAAAGATTGTCCTGATGACTTACAATGTTATCTATGAATACGCCCTTAATATCTTCAGCATCCCACAACCTGCTGCGGTCTCCTGGTCTGTCAATAGATTCTCGGCGAACGATCTCTCGACCCGTTGCTTGGAGAAATTTGAGCATGTCCACCATATTGTGTGATATGGTTAACAGTGATTTGTCAACAAGGTTTTTAAATCCAATATGTGCAGAGAAACCACATCCATCGAGTAACATTGCAACGTCGTCTTTATCCATCCTTCTAAAGAAACATGCAATGTCTAAAAATATATTTTTTTCGTTGTCATCAAGCCCACAACAGCTTCTTTCGAATATACCTGGAATGTAAATGGCAGACGATTTCTGAATTTCTTGTGATAAACTTGTCCATTCTCTGCTGGATCTGCTTAAGAACTGAAGAACCTGAGGATTTCCATTTGAGAATTTGACCAACTCAAGTGACAATGTCTCGTAAAGCTCGTGTGACAGACCACTCTGAAATGTCCCGGGGTCCAGAAGACGTAGAGAGTTGAAAAAATCTAATGGCTTGACCTCATAGACATGATCGGTTTTGCATAGTACAAAAACATGTCTGTTCCTAGACGTTATGACTATTCTGCTTCTTGGACCAAAATAGCTAAGCATCTCTACAAAGGTTTCAACATCCCTGAAATCATTCACATTGTCGAGAACTACGAGGGCCCTTTTAAGCTGAAGCCTGCTCCTCAAGAAACTTGTTTTAATGTTTGAAGTACGCACGACATCTGGTTCTACCTCTAAAAGTTTGGACAAAAGTTCCTCCTTTACAGCATCATACCCTTTTACCTCTACTTCCTCATGAAGGTCCTTGAGGAAGACACAAGTCTCATATTGCACAGAGATTCGGCGAAAGATATCTTCAGCAATGGCTGTTTTTCCTATACCAACTGTACCCCATAGACCTACGCTGCGAACATCTGGAGACTCAATGCATAGCAGTGACAAGATCTAATTTATCTGCATATCCGTCCCAATCATATTCTTCTTATCGTTGGAACGTAGCACCTCCAAAGCATCTCTGACAATCTCATCTATAAGTTCAGACTCGGACCTGCGATATATGAAGTATAGAGTTTACGATTCAATTATCTTCAAGAATAATACAAGGATGATATATCAAAGTTATACAACCTGAATGATTATTCATGTTGCACATAGATGGATAGGGAACGGAATGGGGGATGGAAAACAGCAAAACTAAAGGTTTATGGATACAGACATGGGATATATATATATATATTTAAAGTCACACTATAAAACTCAACATAAAAGAGAGCAAAGAACATATAACCACAATCAGTGTAAGCCAGTAAAAAAGGCATTATATACTAAATACTTTCATGAGGAAACGTTTAAGACTAACAGGAATCACGTACTTATCTGCCAATATGTAGCCATGCATCTGAGTTATTTTCTCCAAATCAGCCTGCCAATTTTTTGCTTCGTCTTGGTGAGAAAATCTCTTAATATAAAGTATAGAGAAGAAGTCTGTGTCTTATTCATCAACCAATGTCACGTATATATACAACAAGGAGATCGTATATGGAAACTAGGAATAGGAAATAGATCAACCTAAATCCCAACGTAATAGGAATATCTCCATATCTATCCTAAGTACTAGGAATATATCTTTATCTCCTCATTACTCCCCCTCAAGTTGGCAATTACATATTTCGAATGCCTAACTTGGACAATAAGTACTGAAATGTAGGTGTTGGTAATGACTTTGTAAGAAGATCTGCTGGTTGATTCTTGGTAGAAATATGAATCGTCCGAAGTAGTTTAGCTTGGACCGCATCCCTCACTGTATGACAATCATTCTCCACATGTTTAGTACGTTCATGGAAGACCGGATTCTTAGCAATATGAATGGCCGATTGACTGTCACAAAAGAGACGCATAGGCGAGGAATGGTTGAAGCCAAACTGGTAAAGAAGACGCTTAAGCCACTTTAGTTCACATGTAGCATCTGCCATAGATCGATATTCAGCCTCTGCAGAAGATCTTGAGACTGTTCGTTGTTTCTTTGTTCGCCATGAGACCAACGAGTCTCCAAGTAGCACAAGATACGCACTCAAAGACATGCGTGTTGTAGGGCAGGCGGACCAGTCGGCATCGCAAAATGCAGTGAGTTGTAGGTTATTGTCGGATGATAGCATGATCCCTTGATCAGGACAGCCCTTGAGATACCGAACAACTCGTAACGCGGCAAGCCAATGGTCGGCAAGAGGTCGTTGCAACTGCGATAGAAGATGGACAATGTAGCTAAGCTCTGGTCGCGTGAACGTTAGGTAAATCAGTCGACCGACCAGACGCTTATACTTGCTTGGCTCAGTTAACGGTGCACTAGTAGATAATGCAAGCTTATGATTCAACTCCGTAGGTACCGGTGCTGGTTTTGCACCAAGAAGGCCGCACTCTGTAATTATATCCAAAGCATATTTCCGTTGTGAAATAAAAATTCCTTCAGGACCCCTTGCAACCTCCAAACCGAGGAAGTATTTGAGTTTTCCCAAATCTTTCATCTTAAAGCACTTACTCAAACAGGCTTTAAAACGTTGAATAGTAGAACTGTCGTTTCCAGCTATAATAAAATCATCGACATACACCAAGATATGTAGGCAAATGTTGTCGCGAACAAAAGAGAATAAGGAGTAGTCTTCATAACTCTGCACAAATCCGAACTCCAAGAGAGTTTTACTTAGCTTCGCGAACCAGCATCTCGGAGATTGTTTTAGACCATAAAGGGATTTCCGCAGACGACATACTTTAGAAGGATCATTGCGTTTAAAACCTTGAGGAAGCTGCATATAAATTTCTTCTTCAAGATCACCATGTAAGAATGCATTGTGAACATCCATCTGATGGAGTTCCCATCGTTTCGAAGCTGCGATTTTAAGAAGAAAACGAACAGTGTTCATCTTCGCAACCGGGGCAAACGTGTCTTTATAATCCGTTCCCTCCTTCTGGCGATTCCCACACGCCACTAGTCGAGCTTTCGCCCTTTCTTCTGTACCATCAGCTTTGTACTTTATTGTATAGATCCATTTATTACTGATCGCCTTCTTGCCAGGAGGAAGTGAAGTAATATCCCATGTATGATTTGCTTCTAGCGCATCAATCTCAGCTTTCATTGCTCCATTAAAGCGTGGATCAGTAACCGCTTCTTTGTAAGACCTTGGGATATAATCAGTAGTAATCTTTGCAAGAAACACTCGGTGTTGATCAGTAAACTCAGACGATGATAAATAATTAGCAATAGGATACGGTGTCTTACCTGAGACCGTTGGCGAGGAACTCTGTTCAGGAGTAATAGGAATATCTCCATATCTCCATATCTATCCTAAGTACTAGGAATATATCCTTATCTCCTCATTATCTCTCGTAGTAATTGCTATTAGTGATCAAATCAGATGGTGATATTCCATAGTAAACCGGATAAACCACTCGAGACTTTTTCACTTAATGTTCAAAAATGTTTAAGAGGTTGGATGGGACGTACGTGCTGGTTAAGAATATGATCAAAACCCTACATTCTGGAACTGCGTCTACATCATCGAAGTCTTCACGAACAGAAACCCCTCTCCGGTAGAAGGCTGCACGGAGATGGGTAATGAAATTGTCGTTGCTTGTTCAACCTCTTCTGTATCTAAAAACGACATCATATTCTTTCAAGGCGGATGATGAAACAGGTGTGCTTAACTCAGCTTCTTGGAGAGAGGCAGGGTTATGATTCCGTGTGAGTCGCCGGACGACCTTGTTGAAATCATCATTGCTTACCTTGTAGAAGCCGGAAAACTGGATTGACATAGACGATATAAGAAAGTCGGAGTTAAGGAAATAGACGATTATATAAGACATGGAGGCGAGATAAATCTCTTTCCTTAACTCTTAATATTCGCTCCGNCCGTGTGAGTCGCCGGACGACCTTGTTGAAATCATCATTGCTTACCTTGTAGAAGCCGGAAAACTGGATTGACATAGACGATATAAGAAAGTCGGAGTTAAGGAAATAGACGATTATATAAGACATGGAGGCGAGATAAATCTCTTTCCTTAACTCTTAATATTCGCTCCGTGAGACGAAACTGTACGAATATCGAGTCTCAGGATACAACCATGGCAGACGAATCACGCTTCACTCGTGAAACGACCTAACGAACTAAAGAATTACGAAACACTCTCTAGACTTACTTTGGGAGTTTTTTCTGTTGGATTACTTGCGTGAAAAAAAATAAAGAATGAAGGAGGAGAGGCAATATTTAAAGAGACGGAGAAGACCCACTTCCCGCAACAACTGCTGCACGTGGGCGAAAATCTCGCTGAGATCTCGGGAGTGGAAGCTCAGAAACTTTCTCCGCAAGATCTTTTCTTTTATTTGACTCGTTCAAATTGTTTTGCAAACAGATAGACTTGGTATTGTTTTTAAACAAACTACGTGTTGTTTATTCACACACGTCATGCTGTTTTTAAATTTAAAAATGGCAAAGCGTTGAGCTTAATTTGGTCCAAAAAAAATAATTTCTTCTCGGGCCAAAGGTCCCCACGCTGAGCGTTCCGGACGGCGGTGGCGCACGCGTGGGAAGCTCTCTCTACCTCTGAGCCCTTTGAACCAAGGGCATCATATTCTTTCAAGGCGGATGATGAAACAGGTATGCTTAACTCAACTTCTTGGAGAGAGGCAGGGTTATGATTCCGTGTGAGTCGCCGGACGACCTTGTTGAAATCATCATTGCTTACCTTGTAGAAGCCGGAAAACTGGATTGACATAGACGATATAAGAAAGTCGGAGTTAAGGAAATAGACGATTATATAAGACATGGAGGCGAGATAAATCTCTTTCCTTAACTCTTAATATTCGCTCCGNCCGTGTGAGTCGCCGGACGACCTTGTTGAAATCATCATTGCTTACCTTGTAGAAGCCGGAAAACTGGATTGACATAGACGATATAAGAAAGTCGGAGTTAAGGAAATAGACGATTATATAAGACATGGAGGCGAGATAAATCTCTTTCCTTAACTCTTAATATTCGCTCCGTGAGACGAAACTGTACGAATATCGAGTCCCAGGATACAACCATGGCAGACGAATCACGCTTCACTCGTGAAACGACCTAACGAACTAAAGAATTACGAAACACTCTCTAGACTTACTTTGGGAGTTTTTCTGTTGGATTACTTGCGTGAAAAAAAATTAAGAATGAAGGAGGAGAGGCAATATTTAAAGAGACGGAGAAGACCCACTTCCCGCAACAACTGCTGCACGTGGGCGAAAATCTCGCTGAGATCTCGGGAGTGGAAACTCAAAAACTTTCTCCGCAAGATCTTTTCTTTTATTTGACTCGTTCAAATTGTTTTGCAAACAGATAGATTTGGTATTGTTTTTAAACAAACTGCGTGTTGTTTATTCACACACGTCATGCTGTTTTTAAATTTAAAAATGGCAAAGCGTTGAACTTAATTTGGTCCAAAAAAATAATTTCTTTTCGGGCCAAAGGCCTCCACGCTGAACGTGCCGGACAGCGGTGGCACACGCGTGGAAGCTCTCTCTACCTCTGAGCCCTTTGAACCAAGGTATATGTGATGACATATATATACAGCTCCCCCTCACTTGTTTTCCCTGATGTGGGACAAGTTCCCCTCTTCATTTTGTTATTAAAGCCCTTTGGGTTTTACGACTTGATAACCTCTATAGGCACATGTGTCTCGTGGCCCCAAGGCGGAAATGAATTCTAATTCCAAAACAGAGTTGTCAACTCCCGTGAGTCGGTGGACGACGCTTCTGAAATCCTTCAGTGGGGTGTGTATGACCTTGGGAGGTTTCTTAATCTTGTGGAAGTCTTTGTGGACACTGAGAGGTGAAGGACGATGACCACGGATCTGAAGCTGTCGTCTCTGCTTCATGTCGGTGTCTTGTGTAGCAGAAGGGGAGTTCTCATCAGCTGACTGCCTCATTATACGGGCTTCTTTTCTCAAATCTTCGAGGCAGCTCTGACCTCTTCTTATCTCTCTGTGTTGCCGCTAATTCTTTTTCTTTTTGGGGTATTAAATGATTGTTTCTTGAAGAATAATATTTACCCCCAAAAATGGTTTTCTCACTGAACAATTTTGAGATTGACTAGATGCAAATTTGACATTTCTGCCAAGATCATCTTCTTATTTCTACCACAAATTTTAAAGGGTGATTTTTCTTATGCTGGAGGTTAGTTTGGAACATTCAAATTCAAATCGGCTAATTAGAGAAAGGTCTATTCAATAAAACAAAAAAAAAACTCAAATTTTGAGGCTTTTATCATTTCAATTTCTAACTCAACCTTAAATCCTCAAATTTTGAGATTTTGAATAGTAACACCTCAAATTTGAGGTTTTAATATTCAAACCTCAAAATAATTAACTTTCTTTTTAGCTCCTATAATTATTTTCACTTATAAATATATCTACTAACTTTATTAAAAAAACTTAAATGCACCTAAATAAAATAAAATAGAATAAATATTACATAATATTTAAATAAAAGTCACACAAATATGAAAGTACATTAAATAAAATTTACATCAAATAAAAATACATTAAACAAACATAATATAAATTAACAAAAATTACATAAATATTTAAATATTACATATCTTACAAGTTGGATATGCACGTTACTGGAAGATCAGTGCCTGAGGTAGGATCTGCACGTTACTGGAAGAAAGAAAACATGCATTGTATAATGACAGTGTGTACCATAATGCATAACATAATAATTTAGGATGAACATGATATGCAATATTAGCGCCTGAAGTAACTATTGTAATAAAAGTGAATGAACATATCTAATTTCAACAATTTTTAGCTCATAATCTTCAATTTAATAAGGAGGCTCACTTATCATTTCAGAATGCCATGTTGAGAACATATGACAGATACATAACAGAATGGGGATGGAAAAAACTGCAAAACTACAAGTTTATGCCTATGGATATGGACATGGGATATATATATATATTCTCTATATATTAATTGAGAAGCATTACAACATGTTTTGGTAGTCACGTGTCATCATGAAAATGTTTTTCAAATTTACTAGAGAAAAATGTTGGTCTATATAAAAATATAATATACTTTTAATTAAACTAAAACTATTATTAATGATATTCATTATTTCTTTAAATAAAATTTACGGAATTACCTAATATGTTGTAATATATATATATGACAATTAACTTTATGAAAATTTAAATAAAATAAAATTGAAATAGTTAAACCAAATAAAAATAAATAACACTATAAAAATAAATTTCTGATTTTTCTTAAAACCGTTGAAGTTAAAAGATAAAAAAAATATTGTCCAAATGTAAATTAAAATTTTCTTTAAAATAAAAATAAAAATATTTCTTTGTATTAGTCATAGTTAGATTAGTGTCATAGCACATTTTTCCAAAGTTTTTTTTAAAGATTGAATATGGAGATGCCACATATACAAATCATTTCTCAAATAGTATTTAGGGAATTTGGATGATAAGAATGATAATAAGTTATAGTTATTACACATAAGTTTATAATAAATAACATTTGACATAAACTCAACGTTACAAAGTTTAAACATATCACACTTTTTAATATTATATAAGTTCAACAAAAAAATTACATAAGTTTACACCGTTTACATTGTAAATACTAGGTAAGAAATCCGTGCGATATCGTCTTGAAACTAATTTATAAAATTAAATATTAAAATTATTTTTTATAAAAATGTTTACAATTTATTTTTTGAAATACATGTGTTGCAAAATTATATTACATGAAGTTATATTCCTTTATTAATAATAATAAAACCTATATTTTGCTTACAGGTTTGGGTGTAATAATGCAAATATGTTAATATCAAATAAGCTATATGTTTTCTTATCCATTTTGCTAAATTATTTCAAAAATCTTGAAAACAACTGAATATTTGAAACTAATTAAGAAAACAGACACTTTCTAATCTAGCTCTATACTAAATTAGTAAACTTACTTATAACAACAAGTAGAAATTTGATGAAAAAAAAATAAGTAGACTACAGTAAAGCCTTTATAAATTAATAATAATGGGATTTTGAAATTTTATTAATTTATAGAGATATTAATTTCCAAAAGTTTCCTTATTTATATTTTTTCATTTTAAGTTATATTTATTCTTTTTTTGGACAACAAGATATATTTATTATAAGATAAAAATATGTGATTTTAATGTATAAACATTAATTATTATTTTTTTGAAATTTTACATTTATATTACTTATATTATATTATTTACTGTAATATATATATATATATATATATATATATATATATATATATATATATATATTACATAGAATTTAATGTGACTTTAGATATATATTACTAAATCTCATCAAAAATATATTAAGTGTCAAGAAAATATAAAGATAGTTCCATTGTGAATATAAAATAAATAGTATAATGATAGATTCTTATATAAAATATGTATACATAGAAATTATTAATTTATCATTTTAATGAGACCATATATTTACATAGAATTTTTTTAAAAAAATTATCTTATTATTTTATTGATTTGTGTCAAATTTTAAACCGATCCAAGTTAGGACTCACGAAATTTATTAATTTACAGAGATTATTAATTTATCAAATATTAATTTATAGAGGTTTTCTTGTATTATGATTTGTTTGAAACCATAAAAGAAATGCGTAGTCAAAAGAGTTTTTTTTTTAACACAAGTCAAAAACATTATTATTATAGTTCTAAGATATGTTATCCTTTTACATATTTTGTTTATAATATCAGCCATACATTCGGTTTTGTTAGATAATCTAGAAAAAAAATAAAAATTAGTAAAAATTGACCAAAAATTAAATTTAAAAATGAGATGGATTTTAAACTTTCAGTGTTAATTCGATTTTCCAGTCGAAAAGTCTTCTATAAAACAGTATTTCTCACTTACAAGTTAAGAAACATATTTTGATATAAATAAAAACAAAAGAAGAGGAAAATCTGCAGCCGTAGCCCCATAGAGTAAAGGTGGGCACAATTACTTGCTACTCGGCTTTTACTCGCGATTTGATTCGTACTTGGCTTTTAAAGTCGAGTACTCATTTTGTTCAAGTGAAGTATCAAATCGTTTATTTCATTTACTTGCAAGTACAAGATAAATACCAAGTACTAAAATAAAAATAACTATTTGGTGATGTTGGTTTGTTACCCGTGACTTATTACTTATTTTTTTACTTTTTGGATAAAATAATCTCAAAATTATAATCAAATTATTTGTTTATAAAATAAATGAATTAAAAGTGATATATTATATAAAATATTATACATTTTTATTTTTAATTTAATATTTCTCATATATCGATTTAAAACATATGAAAAGTAAATAATTTTTTTAATTAAAAATTTAAGTATAAATAACTAAGTTTTTAAAAAATTCATATACAAGGTTTAAGTAGCTAAAATTAATAAAATATTATTAAATAATTTACAAATAATTATATAATAATTTATAAATTAGTTAAGAAACCACAAGTAGAAAAATGGAATAAGTACTTGTAACTATACCATTTTTTGATAAATCAAGTACAAATCCAAATTTTTATTAATGGAGGCAAGCCAAGTCAATACCAAGTACCCAAAAATGACAATTAGTTGGCTACTGGGGGGGGGGGGTTGACCTGCTTGGTAAGAGCTGTAGTTAATTTGGATGGACGACCTAATTTTGGTATGATTGAGAATAGAATTTTAATAAACTAATCTTATTTGAATAAATTTTATCATCCATCCTCCTCTGGGAATCACAAAGGATCCATGAAGGAGTCCAGGTATAGAGGTGTGAGAAAGAGACCTTGGAGTCGATTCGCGGCTGAGATCCGTGATCCACAGAAGAAGTCACGTGTTTGGCTCGGTACTTTTGATACCGCCGAGGAGGCTGCACGCGCCTACGATGCCGCCGCTCGTGACCTCCTTGGCCCTAAGGCCAAGACCAATTTCCCGATCGACACTTCTCCTTCTTCTCTTGCCGAACAGAATCAGAGTGAGTCTCTCCACTCTTCTGCTATTGTCCAGGCACTTTGTCCACCAACGTCATACAAATTGATGCCAGTGCGGCAGGAAATAGTCGTAGATGAAGGATCTAGTCTTAGTGGATTATCTGATACAAATGACGTTGTTGAGCCTCTAGACACAGGTGTTGTTGCATCATCTTCATCTACTACATATTATTATGATGTTGTAATTAGATACAGGAGAGGGGACATGAGCAACAATGATTTCATCAGCCATCTTGGCGCTGCCCTTTGCCGGAGAGGAATCACTGTTCAAGAAGACTTTGATGAAGTGGATTCAATTCCAGAATGTAGAGTTTTGATCATATTCTTAACCAGCACATACTTCTCTTCTGGCCTCTTAAACATTCTTGAACACCAACGAAGAGAGTGTCAAGTAGTTTATCCGATTTTCTACGGTGTATCGCCTTCTGATTTGATCAGTAATAGTAAGGTTTATGATGGTTTTTTTCACAATGACGAGGCAAAAAGGTGGCAGGTTGCTTTGAAGGAAATAGCCCTGTTTCCTGGCTACATCTCGACAGATAAGTATGTGATCATTCATGTATTTTAACTGTAGGAAAACATAGGCAGTTTAGTGATTCTGGTTATGATTTGTGTTATTGCCTGTGGAAGTATCAGTGACACCTTGCTTAAAACATAATCCTTAAGATTATATAACTTTGATACTTCTAAAATTATCGCAGGTCTGAGTCTGAACTAATAGATGAGGTTGTCAGAGATGCTTTGAAGGTGTTGTGTTCCATAGACAAGGTGAAGATGGTTGGGATGGATACACAAATAGATGAAATTTTTTCACTGCTAAGCATTGAATCCGCAGATGTTCGCATCATAGGTATATGGGGTACAGTTGGTATAGGAAAAACAGCCATTGCTGAAGATATCTTTCGCCGAATCTCTGTTCAATATGAGACTTGTGTCTTTCTCAAGGACCTTCATGAGGAAGTAGAGGTAAAAGGACACGATGCTGTGAGTGAGGAATTTTTGTCTAAAGTTTTAGATGTAGAATCACATGGTATTCGGATTTCCGACATTAGAACAAGTTTCTTGAAGACGAGGCTTCAGCGTAAAAGGGCCCTCATTATTCTTGACGATGTGAATGATTTCAGAGATGCTGAAACGTTTTGGGGGGTGCTTGACTATTTTGGTCCAGGAAGCAGGATAATCGTAACCTCTAGAAACAGACAAGTTTTTGTACAATGTAAAATCCATCATGTCTACGAGGTCAAACCATTAGATGTTTCTAAGTCTCTACTACTTCTCAATCGTAATACATTGCAGACTACTTTGTCACATGAGTTTTACAAGATATTGTTACCTGAGCTGGTAAAGTTTTCAAATGGAAATCCACAAGTTCTTCAATTTTGTAGCAAATCAGGCCTAGCATGGGATCAGTTATCACAAGAAATTCAGAGACCTTCTGCCACTTACATTCCAGGTATTTTCGAAAGAAGCTGTTGTGGGCTTGATGACAATGAAAAGGGAATATTTTTAGACATTGCATGTTTCTTTGGAAGGATGGATAAAAATGATATTGCAATGTTGCTTGATGGATGTGGTTTCTCTGCACATATTGGATTTAGAAGCCTTGTTGACAAATCACTATTAACCATATCACATAATATGGTGGATATGCTGAGATTTCTCCAGGCAACAGGTCGAGAAATTGTTCGCCAAGAATCAATTGACAAGCCTGGAGAACGCAGCAGGTTGTGGAATGCTGAAGATATCATGGATGTATTCATAGAGAATACTGTAAGTCATCATGACAATATTTTGTCTTTATAATGTTACGTCACTTCGGTTTGTTCTGGCTAAACTATTTTATGGAGGCTGACTTCTTTTCTCTTGGTTTTCAGGGCACATCAGCTGTAGAGGGGATTTTCCTGGACATGTCGCAGCTGAAATATGATGCAAATGCCAATGTATTCGACAAAATGTGTAACCTTAGACTGTTAAAGTTTTATTTCTCTAAAGTGATAGAGAACCATGGAGTGTATTTACGTCAAGGTCTTGAATACTTGCCGACCAAGCTAAGGCTTCTGCACTGGGAACACTATCCTATCAGCTCCTTGCCGCAATGTTTTGATCCAAAGAACTTGGTAGAGCTTAACTTGCGCAACAGTTGTGTGACGAAACTTTGGAAACGCAGAAAGGTAATGTTTAAGATTTCTGTACCACCAAGTCAGTCAAAATATTATAGCAAATAATTGTTGCTGATGTTTGTTTTTCTTCTTTTGCAGAGTTTAGAAAATCTTAAAAAGATGAGACTTAGCTACTCCCACCAGTTAACAAAACTTCCACGACTTGCAAGTGCGCCAAATCTCGAGCTTCTTGATCTTGAAGGTTGCAAGAGTTTGGTGAGCATCAGCAAGTCTATCTGTTATCTCAAAAGGCTTGTTTCTCTGAATCTGAAGGACTGCTCGAATCTGAAGAGTGTTCCATCTACTGTTGATTTAGAGTCTCTTGAGGTTTTGAATCTTTCTGGCTGCTCAAAGCTAGAGAATTTCCCGGAGATATCACCAAATGTGAGAGAGCTGTACATGGGTGGGACTGTGATACAAGAAATACCCTCATCGATCAAGAACTTGATACTGCTTCAAAAACTTGACCTTGAAAACAGCAGCCACCTTGTGAATGTTCCATCCAGCATCTGCAAGTTGAAGCATCTCGAAACGCTGAATCTGTCAGGCTGCTCAAGCCTTGAGCATTTTCCAAACTTGTCTAAAAAGATGAAATGCTTAAAGTCTCTGGATTTAAGCAGGACAGCCATTAAAGAGCTACCATCCTCCATTTCATATCTGACTGCTCTTGAAGAACTGAGATTTGTGGGATGCAAGAGCCTCGTAAGATTTCCTGACAACGCCTGGAGCCTAAGATTTAAGGTTGAGTTTCGTCAGATTGATACAGAGAAGTTTTCAAAACTGTGGAATAGATTTGGATGGCTCAAGAAAGTTCAGATCTCTTAGTTCCTTTTAATGGACACAAGAAAGATCGTTGCTACTGTCTCCAAGTAAACATTCTCAGTCGTGGAATATTTGAGAATAACTATTGGTTGAATACTTGAATATGCAGAATCTGATTTTATGTCCGATGTCGAGAATCTGATATTCATAAAGTAGTCGTGTTAATCGCTGAATATGCTTTCATCGTTTGTAATAAAATAAAAAATTGTTTCTCTTTTCGAAATTTCTACTCTCATTTTCTACACTGCAAATACTCTTGAAATTGCAGAAAAACTGACTGCAATAAATTGTCTACATACAAATAATGAGTATTTTTCCTAACATCCAATTACGAAACCTTAATATTACACCAAAATCTTCTCCTTGGTTCTCTTACAATCTGCTTCTTCATTACATTCACCACCACTAGCCTGGCATCGTCCTCTCTTGAGTCTGACATCATCAACTACAGCATCAAGACAATTGGAACAGCTTGGTTCGGTCTTCGAACTAAACTGAACCAGAGATGTCTTCTTCAACAACATATAATTATCCTCATCAGGAGCATACACTAAACTCATCCCACATTTGACCACCTCACAAGTCTCAAGCTTCTTCTTCATTTCATCATCCGTCGCATAGAACTCGAAAGAAGCCTTTGTATAACAGCAACTGCTACTCTCTCCATGGAGTTTCTTGACGTGGAAGCAACTGTTGTATCCCATAAAAGCATGGTCAGAAGTAAGCTTTCTTGGTTCATGACTAAGCGATCCACACGGTTCATTCCAGCCTGCAAGAGTGAAGTCAACTCTTGTGAAGGAACCGTCTTGGTTCTCGAATTTGCCAGAACACTTAACCGAGAAACGTTTAGCGTGGTCTTCATAGTCTTTGAATGAGACAACTACAGATAAGGCAAGTCCAACAAAGTTAGTGTCACACCAATGAGGAGGCAATGGGATCTCTAGGATATGTCCTAGCCTTTGGTAGCAGAACCAGCTTGGTATTTCATTCGCCGGGTAACAGATTCCAACCAGAGGCTCTGGAATGAAGCCCTGGATACAAAAGAAAAAAAAAAAAAAAAAGCAGCTTGAGCATTTTGCAACATGGAAGGAGAAGAAGAGACGATTCATGTTGTGGTTTCGGACCTAGGGGGATTAAGGACTTCGGTCCCGAGCCTCCTAGTATGCAAAAAAAAAAGAGAGAAAGCAGACGATTACCCGGTAATAACGTTTCACAGATGCATTAGCCATCAACTGACTTTTGATTCGGGCATAACCTACAATACTCTCTTGTGCATCTTGGTTCAGCTTATGACAGTTGGTAAAGATGAACATAGAATGAATCCTCTCTCCTACAGTCAAAGGAGTCAATGGATTCGCCAGAGTTTCAAGTGACTCACACTCATGTGCATCCAGGAATTGTAGGTTCTGTGGAAGAGTTGGTAGAGACTTGAGCATTTTACAATACTTCAGATCAAACCATTTCAGATTGTGAAGCTGGTTGAATCTCTCTGGCAGATTCTCGATGTTGTTTCCGCTTAAGCATAAAGACTGCAACAAGGATAGACCACTAACATCTTCTGGTAGTTTGTTGAGACTGCATCTTGAGAGGTAAAGATCTGTTAACTGAGAGCAGCCTAATGGAGGTGGCAAGAACATATTAACAGAAACTTGACTGTTTGTTCCACACAAAGAAAATGTCTTGATATTTCTTAGATGCATCATGTTTGGCATCTCAGTGACGGCTGTATCATCCAGAAGTAAAATCTCCAAAGATTCCATGTCTTCCTTGATTTCTGGAAAAACTTTTAGCTGTGAGCATCCTGAGAGTATTAGCTCTTGTAGACATTTCAGCTTATAAAGATCAGAAGAAAGACGCTTCAGCTTTTTGCAGTTCTTCAGATTTAGCAAAGAAAGTTTTCCCAAGCTTTCAATGAATTCAGGAAGTCTCTTTATTGCTGTGCCATCTAAAAGTAGTACTTCAACATTTTCTGAGATCATTGGGAATTTCCTGAAACTGGAGCAGCCACTGAGAATAAGAGTTTCCAAGGATAGAGTTTTGAGTCCTTCTGGAAGTTTCGTAAGGCTTGTGCACTCCCTGAGATTGAGGTAAACAAGCTTCTCCAAACATTTCATGGATGATGGCAACTTTTTCAAACTTGTACATCCTTCTAGATTCAACCTCTCAAGATTTTGAGCATTAGCCAAACCTGAACATCGGCTTAATCTCAACGAGTGACTGAGATCCACCCATTTGAGCATTCCTGCATCCTGTGACAACAGTTCTTGTTAAAAAAATCAGCATCCAAGAGTTTAGCTTCTGAGTGATAAAATCTACACATAAAAATATACCTTGTCTTCGTCCCACATTTCTTCTAACTCAGTATATGGCAGCTTAAGGTCTACAAGGTTCTTAGGGTCAAAGTTCAGAAGGAGACTCTGTAGAGGGCATCCATACCAGTGTAGATATGTTAGCTCATCAGGAAGGAAATCAAGCCCCTTACGTAGGAGCACTTTAGAATCCACTTCACATCCACGTACGCAACGTGAATCATAAATTTTCAGGTATCTGAGATTGCACATGCCTTTGAAAGCTTTGGAGCTTAGACGCATGGCTCCTTGTTTTGATGTGTCCAGGAAAATTCCTCTTATATTTTCAGTTCCCTAGCATACATTTGGTAGATAAACAATAGTTAATTCAAAGCAAGAAGCTAAAGTATAATACAAACAGAATCAAGCATAGTAAACAAGGTGATATGCCATTACCAAGCCTTTGGTCAGCAGGTAACAAATGTAGTCACTATCCCATAGTCTGATATGCGACTGATACTGGGTGCCATATTGTGATAGCCACCTTGTGTCTCTTATTCCTATGGTTTCTGCTTTTGAGCTAATCTCTTTGCCCATAGTCTGCAACATGTCATGCATCTCGATGCGATTATCAGACAGAGTAATCAAACATTTGTCAACTAGATCCTCTATCACGCTAGACGCATCCACACCATGACCGTTGAGAAGGCTTTTGACGTAGTCCACCTTCTCTGATCTGAAGAAACATGCAATATCCAGAAAAACATTCTTCTGCTCAATGCTAAGCTCCTCATAGCTTGTTTCCAGAACTTCATAAATATCTCCATGTGATTTAGTTGTCAGCCTATCCAATTTGGCTTCCCAGTACAGATTATCCCTCTCACAAAGATCAGATCCTAACACCTTAAGAGCCAAAGGGTGGCCTTTAGCATAATCCAAAACCATATTTGTCAAATTTTGAAACTCATTCAGAGGGCAAGGGTCATTAAATGCATTCAAGCAAAAGAGCTTCAAGGCTTCTCTATCATTCAATCTAGGGAGCACATATTTTCGACCCTTGACCGCCTCTACTAGTTTAGTATCTCTAGTAGTTATGATGATTCTACTTCCTCCTTGATACCATTTGGAGTGCCCCATAAGATACCTTGTCTGCTTCTCATCATTCACATCATCAAGCACAATAAGCAGCCTCTTGCTCTTAAGCCTGCGCTCAAACCTCTCATGTGCATTTCCAGGAGCTCCAATCTCTAAATCTCTATCATTTAGTAATGTGGAGAAGAGTTTCTGCAGCAAAGACTCTAACCCACTTCTACTTGAGTTTTCACGAATGTTTGTAAGAAAGCAGCTTCCGTCGAATTGGCCTCGCATGCGTCCATACAAGCAATCAGCAAGAGTAGTTTTACCAATCCCGCCCATTCCAACAATGCCAATGACATGAACAGAGTCCAACTCATGGCAACATAAAAGCTTTTCTAGAGTCCCTAGACGTGAGTCTACTCCCACGAGACCTTCATTACCAATGGGAGCCAAATCATTCAGTTTCTTGAACGTGTCAACAGCAATCTCATCCACAAGTTTGGCCTCAGACGTGCTATCAAACAATAAGATGAAGCTTGATTTAGTTAAACGAAAGAACAAAGTGAAACCACAAAGGCGATAACCAAAGTGTACACTAGTGACATTTAGCATCGTAATTATGTATATGTGATTAGGCCCCCAAACGATTAAGAAAAATATGTACTACGTAATTATTTTTAAGCCCAAAGAATTTTAGGACTGGAACTGCTCAGAGTGAACAAGACATAAAAGGTAATAATAACAGAAGTATGTAAGAAAGTGGAGAGATGACATCAAAATGCAGATCTCTCACGGAGTATACTTATACCTGAGTTCATTGACTACATAGCCGGAGATGTTGAATGCTGTGGCCAGAGCAGCTTCCCAAGATGAAAATTCGTCCTCCTTAACTTCAGTAAAACTCTTCTTTGGAACATTCTTCAACTCAGACTTGTCGACTTTGTAGAAGATCGGTATCACCACCTGTTGGTTTCTGTCCCTGCACTCGAGGATCTTCACAAGCTCTCGGAGGCACCACGCGGAATTCGAGTAGTTCTTGGAGAAGACGATAATTGCAATCTTTGAATGCTCGATTCTGTCGAAAAGCGCAGTGAGGTTGTCTCCTCGGCGGAGTTTGTCGTCGATGAAGGAGTCTATTCCTCTAAGGCGGAGAGCTTTTTGGAGATGGCCGGTGAAGTTGTTGCGTGTGTCAAAGCCTCTGAAACTGAGAAACACGTCGAGCTCTCCAGAGGAAGCAAGAATAGACTCCATTGGAGAGACGATTCGATGCAACTTGTCTGATTTCTCCATCTCTTACATGAAGTCAACTAAGAAAAAAAAAAACTTTTGGCTTTGTCTGATTAATGATTGATGACCGATTCCAGGAAATTTGAAGTGTAGGATCCGTGATATATGTGTCATCCGGATATCACGGATCTCTATAATATTATCTGAGAAGTCAGTTTCTTACGTGTCGCGATCACGTTAACTTTCGCGATAGCTGATTACATAGATATTCTTAATAAATTGTTAGATTTTAAATTACTAGTTGATTTTCCCGTGCTCATGCACGGACATAAATATTTAAAATAAATATATTATAATAATTGATTGATATTTACTTCAAATTTAAAATTAATTTATAATTTGTAGATATAATTTATATTAATAATATTATATTAATTTAATTATATATAATTTTAGATATGTTATATTTCGTCAGTTTTATTGTTTTTACGGTTGATTTAGTTGTCATTGAGATATATTAGATTCTATCTATTTCTCTGAATTCAACTATAATTTTTTTTATTCTAAATATATTAAATTTTTGATTAATTGTCTTATTTGCATTTATGCCGGTTGTTATTTTTTTCTGTAATTGTAAGATATTATAGTCAAAAATACACTAAAATAAAAATATATATATTTCAAGAATACTAATTATAATTTTTTGTCAATTAAACATATATCATTTTATGTTACTTAATTATTTTATGTAATCATCTAATAAAATAGATATATACAAAAAAATACTTTGAAAATATATATATTTATTGTTTAAAATTATTTTTTAAAATAAAAAATATCTCTTTTTCTAATATAAAGATTAGTTGTGTGAACTTTTTTTTTATGGAATCACATTATATACAAATATTTTTTTTTCATCTAAGAAGATATAGTTATAAAGTATTTTATTACTTCAAAATTATATTTTATGTTATTTAAAATATATTTAAATTAAATATTACTATTTTGTGAACTTTCCATTTTTATGAAACCATATTTATATATACTTATATTTTCGTTTTTAAAAAGTTTTGTAAACTTTATACATGTTTCCTTTTTATTTTATATAGTTATTTGGAAAAAAAAATTAAAAAAAAATAATAATATTTAAATGTATTTTTTTAATTCATTAAGGATATCATAGTAATCAACCAGCGTGAGAGTTAACGTGAACGCGACACATTAGAAAGTGACTTCTCAAATAATATTATAGAGATTATTAATCTTTTTTATTTAGTTTTCTTTTTATATTTTTTCCAAAAAATATATATAATAAAAAGGAAATATTTCTAAAATTGTAAAACAAATTTAAAAACGAAAAAATGTATATAATATGACTTTATTAAAAAGGAAAAGTCACAAAATAGTAATACCCCTATTACTATATATTTTTAAATAACATAAAATATATATTCAAAATAATAAACATATATATGTTCATGAATATTCAAAAATTACCAGTTACAATTTAATTTTTTTGTAGAATTTGTATATATGCATGAGATTTCAAAATATTATCATTATATTCGTTTATGTAATTTTGAATCAAACATTTCAATTTATTATTTATTTCATTGTAAGCACAATATATATTAAGTTATACACAATTTAAATATAATATATTTACATATCTAAGACAATAACCAACCGAAATGAAAATAAAAAAATTAATCAAAGTTTTATTATATTTAGAATAAAAATATTATAGCTGAATTCTAAAAATATATATTATCCAATATACTAAATTGATAACCATACCGACTATTGATCCAAAAAATAATTAAACTGACAACAATATATCCATAGTCATATGTATAATTAGAATAATATAATATCTATTTATAAAAATTATACATATAAATTTATTAAAAACTAAAACTAAATATCAATCAATTATTATAAAATTTTACTTTTATGAATATTCATATCCGTGCATGAGCACATCACAATATATATTAAGTTACACATAATTTAACTATAATATATTTACATATCTAAGACAATAACCAACCGAAATGAAAAATAAGAAAATTAATCAAAGTTTTATTATATTTAGAATAAAAATATTATAGCTGAATTCTAAAAATAGATATTATCCAATATACCAAATTGATAACCATATCCAAAAAATAATTAAATCGACAATAATATATCCATAGTCATATGTATAATTAGAATAATATAATATTTATTAATATAAATCATACATATAAATTTATTCAAAACTAAAACTAAATATCAATCAATTATTATAAAATTTTACTTTTATGACGGGAAAATCAACTAGTTCTAATTATTTTACTATTCCGATTCTTGTCTTTCGGATATCCCTAATTCTAATTTTTTTAAAAAAATATTTTAGTATTCGGATTCGTATCTTCCGGATATCCGTGTTTCGGATATCTGTCAAGATATTGTGATATCTGCGGATGTCCGGATACGGATTCGGATCCATGAAATAATTAAAAAAAAAAATCTAAAAAAATACACAAACTAAATATTTATACATAATTTATGAATATATATATATATATGACATATAATATTATTAATATAAAAGTAAATATTATTAAACTTATTTTATGTATAAATATTAATATATCAGATATAATTAATGATAAAATAAAAAATTTAATATATTTTTCTAAAATACGGATTGAATCCACATATCCATACCTAAAAATTAAAATATCCGAATCAATTTGTACGGATCCAAGATTTTATTGTTCGGATTTAGATCCAAACACCCCTAAATATTCTAATTTTGGATTCAGAACGGATCTCGGATCGAATCCAGATCCCAGATAAAAGTCCCAACCCTAATTGATAAAAAGAAAAATCAATCTTCAAATATTGTGGTAGAAATATGATCTCGAGCACAAAATCACCATTTTTATTCACCGACAGAGAGAGAAAGCTTTATCATCTCTCTAAAAACCAGTCTTTCTCTTCTGATTTGGTTAAGGTCGGCGTGCGTGGGCTCTCACAGCCACGACGTCGGCCTTTGTCCTTCCGTTAGCTTGATTTTGTTGTTATTTTCATGATGTTTGACTGAGATTTTGTTTGGGTAGCTGAGTGGTTGCGGTGGAAGAGGTTTTCCGATGAGTTCTCCAGTCAAAGCTAACAGATCTGTTTTATTGTGTTAAAGAAGATGCCGGATCTGGTGGATCTACGTAGTAGTTCTTCTGAAATTGTCGTCTTTTCTGTTTTTTTTTTGCATTAGCTTCCGTTCAGATCTCTAACCTAATCCATCAACTTACTCCAGTGTTCTGGGATTTCTCCGGTCTTTATCCTTCACTCGTTTTAGTCAGGTGGGTTGATGGCTTCACAGAAGCTGAATTCGAGGCGTCCTTTGGTTGGGTTCTAGTGTTAGTCCTTTCTGATCTTTGCCTAGCGACGGTGTAAGCGATGCGTGATGGTGGTGTGGTGGTGTGGTGGTGTGTGGGGAGCAGAACATGTCTAACATCTTTGAGAAGTTTCACGTTGCTTGTCTCACTCTTGGAAGGAGTCTTTCTCGTGGCCTTTGAATAGATGGTTTCTGGTTCGCTTGAGGAAGGGGCGTGGTCCCGGGTGTTGTTCTTCTTTGTTCATTGGCTGATGTTATCCTTATGGGTTATGGATTGTTACCGTGAACTGGAGGTTCAGGTAAGTCTAGTCTTGGTTCATTGTTATGGCCACTGCATCGTTTTCTCTTTCTTGTATAGTTTATTTTGTGTAGTTACGGCAAGAGTTCTGGCTGTTCAAAGCTTAGATGGACCGATATCGATATATCTTGTCAAGGTTTATTTAAGGATTTGGTTGGAGAAGTGTAGAGAACTCTAGTGATACTGTAGTTGTTGTAAGTGTCACCCTGTTGTTTGGGGTTTGTGTCTCCCTCTTATGGGCTATGTTTCCGGGGATTGTAAGGTGTGTCCGTCGGCTTTAGGATTTCATTCTTGCTTGTATGTTTTGCCTTTGTGGCAATGAATGAAAAGAATCAACTTTGACGGAAAAAAAAAATGATCTCGAGCTGCTTCGTGTGTTGGAGAAAAGTCTCTAATCCCACATTGGGACCCATACTGAATGTGATCTCAAGTAGCTAGTTTCATACAAAATCTTTAACTTTTTTCACATTTTTCACATTTATTAAAAAATAATTTAAATATATTTATATTTTTATTAATGATATCTATTTAACTAATAGTATTTAAGATAAGTATATTTATTTATTAAATCGATATATTTTACAATTAATATTCAACTGAAAATAGGTAGAAATAACATTAGAATTAGAAAATGATATTTATTATGTAACAAATAAAATACCACTTTTGAAAAGTAGAAAAAGTAATAAATAAAAATAATAATATAGATTTCGAAGATATTGATTAGTTAAGAAGGTTAATCTCTTAAAGATAACCAAATTATGTTTCTTAACAGTAAAAATATTAATTTATTCGTTAAGAATAATACATTTAATATAACCTTTTTAACTATAATTTTAAATTTTATACCCTAAGTTCTATCTTTTAAATTTTAAAAAGTTAATTAATTTTACTCGTAATTAATTATATATATAACTAGTACAAATAATAAGATATAAAATCAATATCATCATCATTTTTACAGTTTCATAATATTTAAATATCCAAAATAAGTAGTCCATTTATACTACTATTTTCAAAAAATTAAACATTAATGTACATGAATAATAAAAATTAATATAAAAAATTAAAATTTTGAATAATGAATTACTTATAATTTAATTATATGCGCTAAAAATATATTCAATACAAAACAACCTTCAAAATTGTATAAAAATAGTATATAATAAGAAACAAAACAACATTTCAATACAAGTAATAACCCAACGCTATATAATAATTTGTGTATAATAAATATATAATGTATGTTTTTAAAAGTTAAAACAAACATTTGCACGAATATGCAGATCAAAATCTAGTTATACAACCAAACTAATTTTCATAAATATGTAGGTACATCTGTTTGGGGTTTTTATCATATTGTAATAATGATGTTTTTTTCTTGATGCAAGACATGGTT